TCTTTCTAAATGGAAACACTGGCTGTGAGTTCTGTTAGGATCAATGTGACTCCAAAGTGCAGTTTACAGATACACCAACAAAAACAACTAATGTAGATATTTATTCTTGCTACACCGAAGTCATTATACAAATATTTAGTCCCTGAGATACCAGAAAAACCAACAGCAGGTGCCTTTCAGCAAGCCTTTTTTATTTAAAACAGCTAAAGCTAGTTTGCGTTTCATTTCAGAATGATAATGAGACATCTTTAACGACAGTACACTTATAAAAACACAACATCCATTAAAGTGGATGTGGATGTGAACTCTTATAAGACGATCAATGAGTCTTAACTGGCTGTAATCAGGTGGATTTCTCTTATCTAAAGCACAATACTGCTAAAACAGCTGAGTGTGACATGTCAGGGTCTCAGATGAAGGCCCAGCTAAGCCGCACAGTCCTGCAGGACACTGGATGCAGAAAATAAGCAGTTTTTGTCATGTGTTCAGTGGTTTCTGTGATTCCTTTTAGTTTGGAGGGTCACATGTTTTAGTTTGGCATGGCTGATAGCAGATGGCAGTTTCCAGAAGCAAGTACTGATACACTCAGGTGAACGAGTGAGTCATAATAAAAGCAGCTGTGTGACGTGGGTCTCACCTCGCCATGACTTTCTGAACGTTGCCTGCAAACAGTCTGGAGTTCTTCTTCTCCTCCTCGGACGGAGTGTAAACCGGCAGGAACTGCAGCACAATAAACAGGCAAACATTGATTTGTGTGTTTACAGCGTCTAGACAACAGTAACAGCTTAATAGAGAGGCAGGCAGGGTGTCCACACGAATCAACACAAACGCACGCAGAGGATCTCGTCTGCAGACACGTGCGCTGTCAAAGCAGCTCTAAAAACTGAAGACATAATCTCTGCCACACCTCCGCTCACACCCTCCACTGCTGATATCACCTGTGCCAAACGCACATTGTGTACACCTTTACATCATCAGATGTGCTGATAACGTCTAATGATTGATAACAAGGGTGGTGGTTAACCTCAGTGAGCTCTTACCTCAATAGTGATCTTGGTGTACGGCTGTGAAAGCGTGTGAAACAGCACCTGAAACCTAACGAGACAAAAACAGGAAGATATTGGTTATTGTTTCAAAATCCACACATCCATCTATTTTCTTCCACTTATACAACTTTCAGCCCTAAGAAGTAATTCATTGTAATATATGTGACTCATTATTACATATTTTTCTTAAATAAACAAAAACCTGTGCTTACATTTAGTCTCAGATTTAACTGTCTGAACTGTCTGTTAAATTCCTTATTTTTTAAGTAGCCCTCTGTATAACTAATCATTCAGGATTTATAACACTGATGCAAAGCTAACAAGCTAATACACACTTTCTGTGTATTAGTGACAGTTAAAACTCATGAGCATTATTTCTCAGGCCCATGAGCAGGTTCAGAAAGTAAAAGAGTTAAAAAAAAAAGGGTCCAAAGTCCAGGAGGCTTCCAGCTGATTCATTCTGCAGCCTCAAAATGTCATCAATAAAACACACAGATTCTGAGCTGGAGAAGTGAACAGACTCACCAGTTGCTTCCTTTGTATGTCCAGCGAATAGTATCCTGAGGGAGAGTCAGAGAAAAGCTTGCATTGAACTGTTTAGCATCAGTCTGAGTGACGCATTTTCTCACAGCATGTCTTTAACAATCTTTAACAGTATTTCATTTCCCCCGTTTGCACACGCTGGGTGGTGTCAGCGTGTGCAAACGCCACAGTGTGTTTAAATTGTGCCTGGCACCACAAACAGTTTCCTTTTATAAGGCCTCACAAGTCAGTCAGTGACTATATCAAAGACTCCCACATGACATTAATAATGCTGATTTGGCTCTCTCAGTCTGGGATTAACTCTCCTTCAGTATTAAGATTGTCACTACGATTGTCTTCATTCTGTTTTGTTGTTTTGTTTTATTATGTAACTTTACTGTCCTCCTCTGTGTAAGGACCTCTGGTCAGCCTGAACTCTGATGTGTCTGCAGAGCAGTTTAGTTTCATCGCTCTGACAAAGAAACTTTCTTGGATACTTGGAGGTCAGGAGGTAGAGCCAGAGAAAGCCATAGTCGCTGGAAGGGCAGTGTTTCGATCCTCTGCTCCCCCAGTCTGCATGTTTACTTATCCATGGGGGAGCTACTGAACCCAAAAAAGGGCTTATATGAATCTCTTTGACTAGGAAAACAATGCATATAGTAGAAAGTGCTCAAAGTGATTGCTCCAGTGTGTTCATCTTCCTTTTAGCAGGACTATTTCAAAAGTTATTGGTCGTGGGCTTGGCAGCCTACATCCACCCCAGCTCCTCCTTTTCCTTCTGTGCTGTATTTGGCCTAAAATCACATCAGCTCACAGACGTCTGCTCTGTGACTCTTTCGCTGTGCTAGCTGAACAGCTGCAGATAGATGTAACCTTTTGACTGCAGCCATCTCGGCTAAAATAACTCACAAACCCTGCCTGGTAGTGGGAGGAAAAATTACATTTCTGATCTTCGCCTCCTGTCAAACTAGACTCGTATGGACGTCGCTGCAGAGGATGC